TATGCCTCTTATTCTCCTTCTTCCCTTTTTGAAACATGGGCGCTACATTTGCCTTATTCCAATCATCCAGGACCTCCCCCGATTGCCACGAGTTTTTAAAGATAATGGTCAATAGCCAAGATAGATTTTCGTATGAAATAGTAAAAGCTTGTGTTTGGACCAGTCAATAGGTGAGTAGTGAGGCAGGTTTTCCTTCCTCTAACCTGGAAGGGGAAAACCAGCCCAATGGACCTTGGTGGGCAGGGCCAGACCAATCCTTCCCTGCTCCCAGGAAGCAGAGGGCAAGGGCCAGGAGTAAAAAGGATGGAGGTGAGAGCCAGTTGAGCCCCAAGCTATTCCCGAGCTCATGGGGTGGGAGGCTGGCATGTACCCCCTAGGAAGCAGAGGACAGCCAGAACCACTGAAGATCCCAGACACAGAATAACTGGAAGACCTGACAGAGGCTCCACTCTCCAGGGACCCAGAAGAATGGCTACCAAGCCAGGTATGCCCAGAGGTGGAATGGGGTAGCTGACCCTTGTCTGGCTGAAGGAATACCAGTGAACTGAGTCAGCGTGATGCAGACAGAACCTGCCACTATTAAGGGCCCTGGGCTAGGACACAGGGGAATGGATGGGCCTGCTTTCCCTCCTCCACCCCTTACACCTCAATCCATGGGTGGCAGTCTCCCCCTGGTTTTGGACAAAATGCTTGCGCTTGTTGGTTCTCCACCAGAGCTAGGAGACCCAACTGTTGCTCAGCCTGAGCATAGGCCTGAGTCCCCAAACAGTTCGCTGCCCTGCCCTATGACCTGGGCATATCGACTGTTGCTTGGCCTGAATACCCAAACTGTATGCTGCCCGACTCTGAACTAGAGCCTGGGTGTATTGGCTGTTTACTCAGCCTGAATACAGGCCCGAGTGCCTGAACTGTTTGCTGCCCTGCCCTGAATTAGGGCCTGGGCATATTGACTGTTACTTGGTCCACGTACCTCAACTGTTGCTGTTCTGCTCTGAGCTAGGACCAGTACACATTGACTGTTTGCCCAGCCTGAACACAGGCTGAGCACCTCAACTGTTTGCTACTCTGCCCTGAGCTAGAAACGGGGTGTATGTACTGCCTGCTTAGACCTGGACTTGTTGCCCACTTGAAGCAGGGCCTGGTTGAAACTATTAACCTGTTCTGCTTGCTTCTAGGGAGGGAGGTTGGACTCCCTCTAACCTTGGACTGCATCAGTCTCTGACCCAATTCAGTACAAGGTGAATTAGTCATTAGTTTAAACAAAGTAGAGTACACCAACATCGAAGTCCCATTTATGATAGTAATTGGCTAAGCTTAGTATATGCAAGGCAATAATCCTGCAAACTTTCATCATGCCTACCATTATAGAATCTAGAAGCTTAAAATTTCACTCAACGTACAATTTACACCATATTTTCATCAAAACTGAATTTGGTCCACAATCTTTAACAGTTAAGTAAATAGGAGCTCCTACTTCTACCCATAATTATTGATAACTAAGGAACGTTTGTTTGACAAATTAAAATCAATTTTCAGTATAAGGTGTGGATACCAGTCTGTACAATCCCATTAAATTCTTTCTGTCATCATTCTGTAAAAGCATGGATGTTTTAGTAAAACTTGGTGGCATTCTTTGAATGTTGGAAAAAAGTGATTTATGCAAAGCATGGAGCAGTACTGGAGTAACTTACTGCCCTGTGTACCAAATAGATTCTCATGCCATACACAGTGTTTTATATTATAAAGGAAGTACTTACTTGATTTGATGGCAATTCATCTTAATATTATATTTTAGGCATAGGAAAACATTATAACAAGTCACAATAAGGTCAAAATCACAATAAAAATGCTTCCTAGCTAATGTGAACCAATGTACTTTGGATGTTTATATAGGCTGAATGAAAACGGATTATTAAAGTTTCCTCTCATTCACATTTAACAAATTTCATATCCTTCAATTTACAGATAAGCTTGGAACTATATTAAGTTGGTAAAATAGGGAAACGTGTCTAAACTACAGGAAAGAAAATAGAAAAAATGGAGGAAGTGTCCTAAATGAGTTAATTTTCATATTTTCCACTCTAGTTTTTTTCATTCAATTAGATTGGAATTGCACAGTTGCAGCACAAGTGGCATTGCAGTCACAGGCCACCTTAGTTCCAAAAACAGGAACAGGAATTTTTTCTATTTTTCTTTCCTGTACTGAGCTCCACAATTAATTAAGTTTTCTTTTGTAGAAATCACAAAGACTCTTATTCCACATAATGTTCTCTGAGCTTGTCTTTTCTTGTCATCTTTTTTGACTGGACTTAAGGGGAGCTGTGCCCCTCTCAAGTCACCTATGCCTTCATGCGCGTTCAACTTACAAAAATGTAAATGACCAGATACATCCAATGATGACAGAACATATAAGAGAGTTCAGGAGATCAACATATGTATTTAAAATGAAGCAGGGAGTAGAGAATATGATGAAAAGCAGGAAGTTGTGATTGAATTCATTCTGAAATGAGCAAATACACTGCTGTTGACTTCTCAACCTCAAATGTGTAGAATACTACATTCCCAAACAGAGCTGCATACAAGACTTACAAGAAAACAAGATAAATATACAAATGCAAAATAGCTCATTTCGCAAAAATACCAAATATTCTCATACATCTCCATAGAAAACAATTTTAAAAAATGACATAAAACACTGAAGAGACGAGATGGGTGAAGGAATATATTTTATTGGACCAACTTTTGTTGGTGAGAGAGACAAGCTTTCGAGCTACATTTGGATCCAGCACATATGTATCACAATATGTGGTGTACCTCTTCCAATCAACTAAATGCCCCAATAATAACAACTGTGTGGATGAACCCAGACAATCACTACGCTCTTGAATGAACTCATCCAGGAATATTGTAAAAGACAAAAAGACCCTGTCAACTATGGATGAACACGTTTGAAAAAGTGATCGCTCTATATCTGGTCTAACAGTTCTCATCCTCAAAGGAAATCTGTACAACACTTTCAGAATATGAGCCTGGTAGCTTAAATTCTTTACTCTGCTAGATACTAAAAATTATGAACTAAACAGAGACACTGAATTAATGTCTTATTACAAGAATCTATAACCCACAAAGCCCCTTCTTTTAGTTCTATGACTGCAGAGGTGTTACTAGGCCACTCTACCTTGAATGGTCCTTACACTATGTGCTAACTACTTATGCTAAACAATCTGTTCCATCTTGCATTTTGTTGGGATGCTTTGAGTACCCGAAGAAGAGTTCTGTGTGGCTCAAAAGCTAGTCTCTCTGACCAACAGAAGGTGGTCCAATAAAAAATATTACCTCACTCACTTTGTAACATCTAACACAGGTACACTGCATAAAACACTTAACATATTTTTCATTAAAAACAGCTACAAAACTATTTGTGCATTTTTAAATGAAATCAATTTCTGCAAAAGATACAAGTCGCACATTTGTTCATCCACCTCTACTCCATGGCTATGTCTACACTGCCAGCTTTTGCTGGCAGAGAGTATGCAAATGAAGACCTGATTAGCATTTTGTGCACTTCATTTGCATAATCTATTCGAGACGTTTTTGCACAAGCCATTTTTGCACATAGGTAATAAAAGATATTACCTATGCCTCTCTGGAGAGGCATACGGATCTTGCGCAAAAAGGGGGTTTTGAACAAAAAGGAAATGTCCACACTAGGGGTGTGTCTAGACTACATGCCTCCGTCGACGGAGGCATGTAGATTAGCCAGATCGGCAGAGGGAAATGAAGCCGCGATTAAAATAATCACGGCTTCATTTACATTTAAATGGCTGCCCCGCTCTGCCGATCAGCTGTTTGTCGGCAGATCGGCAGAGTGGAGCAGCCATTTAAATTTAAATGAAGCCGCGATTATTTTAATCGCGGCTTCATTTTCCTCTGCCGATCTGGCTAATCTACATGCCTCCGTCGACGGAGGCATGTAGTCTAGACACACCCCTAGTGTGGACATTTCCTTTTTGTTCAAAACCCCCTTTTTGCGCAAGATCCGTATGCCTCTCCAGAGAGGCATAGGTAATATCTTTTATTACCTATGTGCAAAAATGGCTTGTGCAAAAACGTCTCGAATAGATTATGCAAATGAAGTACGACAAAATGCTAATCAGCATTTTATTTGCATACTCTCTGCGGGCAAATGCCGACAGTATAGACAAAGCCCATGAGTCACTGGATCTTTCCTTATTCAGTGATATCAGAGTATTTGTTTAATCTTTTTATACATAATACTTCTTTAGTCTTCTAACACCAAACTTTGTTGCTCTCTGTTTTTCATTGTTATTTTAAAAACCATCCAAGCTATAAGATGAACATATAATAGAAGTCTAAATAGTCTTACACCTAAAGAATATACAGCATATTTTTTAAAAGTGTATTCATTTAGAGGTATTCCTTTAAGAAGGCCCTACTGTCTGATTAAAATAGATCGCTGGTACAAAGAAAGTCCATTTTTATACTCTTGTGGTGAGCTGGCAGTGTTATCCCTTTTCAAACTTAGTGCTTTATTACTTATTCAATTACATTCCTTTATTGAGGATTATTATGCATTCATTAAAGTATTCCATTTCCGTATATGCCTTGTTTTAGTGCACAGCAAGTAAACAGTCTCAGCAGAGCCGACAGCTTTGCTGGACCCCTGGACAAGGTGAGGGAGGGGAGAAACCCAGCTGGGGGAGGAAAGGGCAAGCCTGGGCTAGGCAGCCCACAGCAACATCCTCCAGAGTGCCGTGCCTCCCCCAGACAACCCTCGGTGCTGCTTGCAGTGAGTCGCCTGGTGCTCCGGCAATGATTAAAAAGACCCAGGGTTCTGGGCCTTTTTGTATGGCCAGGCCCGGGGCAGTTGCCACCTTTTCCCTCCCTCCTCCTGTCGGCGGGCCTGGGAGGACTAAATACTTTTTAGGTACTTTTGATGACACTTATTTGCATTAATATATAGAGAAAGATGTTATTACCTGGTAGTGATTTAGACCATTTGACTACACAGAGGAGTTGCCGTTCACATAACTGATTGAGACTGGTCAGCAAAGCACTTGGGGTTTCAGGTCGTGTGTTGTCATAACCTGCATAAACCACTTCTGGCTCAATGCCCTGTAAGATGGTGATCAGTGAAGGAACAAATGGTATTTCTTGATTTGGCGAAAAGGATACCCTCTGGGTTACAGCGTGGCTTTCATCTGGAAGGGTCACTGGCTGCTGGAGAGCAACAATATCTAGTGTCCTCATTACTTTGACTTTGTTAAACTTTTTAAACTTTCGCCCTGAGGAAAAATAATGTAATGAAACATAAAAAAACAGATTCCCACAAAGCAGATTAACTCTTTCAGCATCTCTTAGATTACACTTTTAACCCTGGATTATTTCTTCTACAGCTCCAAATTACATATAATTCAAAACCCTTACAGGAAATTCTTAAAGCTTTGTTCCGGTTTGGACCAGGAAAGAAAGAAAGACATGAAAATATGCTGATGAAACTTCCCACCATATATACTATCTTACTGCAACCTGATGAAGTATTTCCTGGTTCACCTCCCACTATCCTGTCACATGAGGATGGCTGAGCCAATTGATTCTTCAGTTCTGTTTCTGCTGAATGTAAGTCAATTATACTGTTGACATTGTTTTCCTCTAACCTCAGAAAAATATAAATAGTTCCCTGGTATAAATAAGAAGTTCCTTATTTCCCGTTTCCACACAGAAAGACTTCTGACTTCTCTGACTTTCACTCCTGATATAGTTCCCTCTGCTAAGGCAGATGGAGTATGAGACTAGAACCCTGAGGATACGAGGAAGGGGTCAGATAGTGTGAATATACAGAGACAACACTCAACACAAACTGCATTTATTAGTGAATAACCTTTCTTTCTTCTTCCACACTTCCAATTAAGCACCATGCCTAGGAAGGTGGACCAATGAGTGCTATTTAAACAAAAATTACAGGATTGCCCTCTGAAAATGAGCGTTAGATCTAGATGTCAAACAAAGAAAGCTGAGCAAAGTAAACATATGTACAGAACTCCACTATGAAAGCAGACAGTCAACGTTAGTCCTAGTAAAGTGAACTTAGATCGGGGTAGGCAAGGGATCTGGAACACTAAGATCTTGGATCTGCCCCATATTCCGCCCCACCAGGACCCTCAGGCAGGGTCAACCCAACCATCACAGTTCCCATTGGCTGGTCTCTCATCCTCTCACTGGTGCATGGCGCACAGAAGTACATGGAGCAGCTAGCCATTTTGAGCAGCTTGGGTCTGTGGCAGGCAAGGAGCCTGCCTAAAGATTCTGCTGGGCTGCTAATCAGGAGCTGCCTAGGTAAACCCCTCCTGGTCAGAGCCTGCATCTAGCACCCCATACCCTCCTGCACCCCAACTCCCTTCCCAAGTCACCACCCAAACCTTCTACACACCCTCTCCAAGCCCCCAGGTCACAGCACCCTCCCAGAACCCACATCTTAAGAATCTCTGGGGTTATTACCTCTGCTGACCTTGTCTTCAGTTCTCATCCCAAACCCATGAAGTAATATTTGAACTAGCAAACTTATCTTGATGCTTTTTCTCCCCCTTCTTTCTCCCTGGTTCCCCTAGCCACACACATGGTAGACTATAATTAGTGAGAAATTTCTAGCATGCTTTACAATACAAGGCATCTTTATTGTGATATCATTTCACTCTGGAGGTAATAGCATACCATTCTGTTTTTCTTTTTTTGGGTCACCGATGACCCCAGTACGAGTGTTATGTTTGTATCTGCCAGGGTGCCAATGGGAGAGCAGGCAAAAGGAACAGTTGCTCCAGGGCCCAGTGATTTAAAAGGGCCCGGGGCTCCGGCTGCTACTGCAGCAGCAGCAACCAGAGCTCTGGGCTCTTTAAATTGCTAAGGGGGCCCCATGCAGCGTGGTCTGGGTGGTGCTGAGGACTGAGAGGAGGAGGCTAGGCCCCTAGACTCATCCCTTCTGCCTGAGGTCCTGCCCCTTTCAGGGACCCTGGAGCTGAACCTTCCCCCCATTGCTCAGGGTTTGGCAAAGTCTGTAGCCAGCCCTGTTTTCTTCACTAAGGAGTCACTATCCAGGACTACTTGCCTCTTCTTTTTAATAGTCCTGCAGCACCTAGAGACTACCAAAGAATGTAGATGGTACCATGAGCCTTGGTGGGCACAACCCACTTCTTCAGATGAATGGAGTTAAGGAGTCCAGGTTGCAAAATAAATAGCAGAAAAAGAGAGAGGATGGGGAAGGAAAGAGAAGGGAAAAAATGAGGGGAAAATGTCAATGTCCATGATAAATGAAGCGATAGAGCGGGTTCTAAGTAGTCTTAAGTACCTGGTACTTGGCTAGTTATGTCACTAGGATGTAGAATGTATTACCCACTACACTGGGTATGTCTAGACATTTGGCCCCGTGTAGATGAGCCAAATGGTGGAAAAACCTCTTTCGGAAGAAAAGTGGAAAAAGATATGCAAATTGCGGTTCACAATTTGCGTATCTTTTTCCGACTTTTCTTTGTAGTGTAGCCATAGCCATTGTCTCACTTGTCTAACAAATCATGGTTATCTGACCCCTCACATCACTGGAATCTTACCATGCATTTCCCTAGGAGCAGTGTTAGATCACTGCTTGAGTTCTTTTGAAAATACCTCTCTACATATTTCTGATATTGGCAGATGATTTTTCTTGAAAAATATGTAATATGCTTCCCCAATGGTCTTAACAACTGTACTGGATCACAGATAATGTGTTAATCTAACTTCTAATTGTACACGTTTTTTTTTTGGTATACTAAATATTTCTGCATTAGTTTTTGGAAGAATAATACTGAAGAATTAGAAAAACTTATTTAGGAGATTATAAAACTAATTTTGTGTTTTAGTTCAGCTATAATTATACTTGCCTATATCCCCTGTAATTTGAAATCAGAGGTTTTGTGTCTTCCTTCCAGATTCAAGAGTAACACTTTTAAATAACGGCATTACCCTTCGGTAAAATGTGTGCAATGGGGGCAAGAATGTGGTCCTGAACAATCTAACTAACAGACCGTTAAACAGAATTAAAATAAGGCAAAGAGGCAGGAGAAAGATCTTCCTATTCTTTGTGAAACGACACATTCCATTAACAAATTCTCTGCTTGCAGAATGATTTGCTCCACTACCAAGAGATCTAACATCTGGCTTAAAGTATGGGATACTGATTCCATTTCAAAGGGTAAATTAACACTTGCAGATTTCAGTGGCAAATAGGTATTGGAAAATGCACAAGAAAAAAGCTTTCAAAAAGTCTGAAGCATAATCCATCCATCCAACTGTTACTGTTTCTATTACCTGAAATCTTCCTCCTTCACCTGCAAAGTGGCTTTTGAATAATGGCACTTGCAGAATGGCATCCCATAGTTTCAGGAACCATGAGGAATGTAATCTGTTCTGGTTCCACACAAAGGCCCAAACAGTCCCAAAAGTTTGGAACTGAGATTCTGCATGCCCTATCACGTTAGTTCTTTCTTTTCCACAGTGGCTGCACTTGTAAAGACCTCTGTGCCTGAGGTGATTTCAGGTGGATTTATAGCCAGACGTTTCCTCTTGTTCATTGTTTTGTTGGACACGTTTTGTGAATTAGCTTCATTAACTCGGGTCCTACAACTGATAGGTGCCTCTTTTGCTGTTATATACAGTATATATTGGATTCTGTTACTTCCACTCCAACTCATCTTATTGATATGCTATAGATTTGAAATCACAAGGAATCTTCACTAGTGGAGGACACACGTTTCTAACAAATTAGAATGCATCAAAATAAAGACTAATTTACAGAAGTGCTCAGAAAATTGTTTTTTGGAATATAGTTAAGTGTCCTCCGATATAATGTACACACTATTTGCAGATCTTTACAGGACCGCAAATATGAGTCCTATCAGACTCACATTAGCAGTGGCAAAGCTTGGTACCTGCTTCAGGCTAGTCATGCCACAATAAGCCTCTGTTGCTGGAATTTTAATGCCCCAGGAAAAAAAATAGAGGGTTAACAATATTTGGTTTTTTAAACTGTATTATACAAAATATTAAAATTTATTTCCTGCTGTAAGATGAACAAACATCCCAAATTAGTCCTATACTAAATAAATAATGGTAATATCACTTCAGCCCTACCCCCATCATAACGTTAACGGCCAGCAAAGCTTGGACAGGTCTGTCACGAGGGTGTTCAGTCACACCAGCCAGCTTCAAGGTGCCCACAGTTCCTGTACATTATTGGACAGTAATGGGGCAATGGGAACTATGTACAACTAGTGAACATAAACCAACAACATAAGCAAAACAACTTAAATGATAAATGCTTAACATTCATATGTGAGATTGAAGTTGCTGTGGTACATAATTCTGCACTTTGATTTTTCCTTTAAGCATGTGTATAAAACCACCCACCATAGTGCATCAGGCATTCTGTATTAGATAGTCTTCTCATTAGATACAAATGTCTTGCCCTCTCCACAACCAGTAAGTAGGTGAAATTATCAATGATTCATTACTCTTGACACAGTACCATGGTTTTGACTCCAAGGTCACTATGCTCCTGTGGTTCCATATGACAGAACAAGTCCTATACACTTCAGAAGGTTGTAAACAAGCTAAGGGAACAAAGTAGAGGTTTGTTGATTTTAACACATTTGCTGCATTTGCTGTTTTAGGAAATATTACCTGGGAAATCATTCAAATTTGATTACATATCAGCACTGTCAAATGCACTGAATGCTAACAGAAAAGTGATTTTCCAGCAGTGTGGCACAATAAAAAATCAGTGTTAGAGAATAATCATTTTTAAACCCATAGCTACTGATCTGGAAGAAAGGGCTAGGAATATTTTACTTCAAACTGGTGTGCTGTGAACTGCAGTAAAGACAAAGAGATAATAGAGATCAAGAGAGGTTGGAAATATCAGCAAGAAAAAATAAAATGAGGTTCAGCTTAGAAAAATAATTAGAAACATAGATGCACAGAAAGGGAGAACCCCAGAAAGTTGTAACATTCAAAGAAAGCTGAGATGATAATATTCAATTTGCAATGCAGTGTAGAAACAAACCAAGGCAAACCAATCACATATGCAGAAGTATCATTCACAAAGGGCAAATATGTAGAAGTGTAGGGAGGTGACAGATTAAAGTGTTTGGTTCCGGAACAACATTACCAGAAAGCTAATGACAAAACTGAGGGTACGTCTACACTACAACGTTAATTCGAACTTAATTCGAATTAGTTAATTCGAACTAAGCTAATT